CAGCACGGCTTTCCTGCAGGGCAGCCTGCACGAGGAGATCTGGCTGCGCCGCCCACCTGGCTTCACTGGGTCGTTTCCTCCTGGTACCCAGTGGAGCCTCCGGCGGCCAGTCTACGGTCTCCGCCAGGGGCCCCGTGAGTGGCACGACACACTGAGGACTACACTTGCGGCTCTTGGGTTTGCTCCTTCTACAGCCGACCTGTCGCTATTTCTGCGCACCGACACCTCTTTGCCGCCGTTCTACATCTTCGTGTACGTCGACGACTTGGTATTTGCCACTGTTGACACTGCTCGACTCGCCCACGTGAAGTCCGAGCTGCAGAAGAGACATGCATGCACAGACCTGGGTGAACTGCGCAGCTACCTTGGCTTGCAGATCACCCGGGACAGAGCACAGCGCACCATTACCCTGACTTAGTCACACATGGTGCAGCAGGTCCTTCAGCGCTTCGACTTCACGTACTCCTCGCCTCAGGCCACTCCTCTGTCTACTCGCCACTCGCTCTCAGCTCTGCCTTCGGATGAGTCCGTAGAGCCGAGTGGCCCGTACCCAGAGCTTGTTGGCTGCCTCATGTACCTGATGACCTGCACACGACCTGACCTTGCATACCCTCTTAGCATCTTGGCACACTATGTTGCTCCTGGCAGACACAGGCCAAAGCACATGGCTGCAGCGAAGAAGGTGTTGCGCTACTTGTGCAGTACGTCGGGCATGGGGCTAGTGCTTGGAGGGCGACGTCGAGTGGTCCTCACAGGTCACGCTGACGCTTCTTTGGCTGACGACCAGGCTCTGCAGCGGTCGTCACAGGGTTACACCTTCAGCCTTGGCTCCGGCTCTGTTTCGTGGCGGTCTACCCGCTCGTCTTCTGTTCTCAGCTCTAGCTGTGAGGCTAAGATCTACGCAGGGGCCATGGCTGTACAGGAGCTACGCTTGCTCACCTACCTGCTGACTGACCTAGAAGAGTCGCCTCGTTTTCCTCCAGTTCTGTACGTAGACAACAAGGCCATGCTGGCCTTGTGTCGGGAGCACAGACTGGAGCACAGAACGAAGCACATTGCTCTTCGCTACTTCCTTGCTTGTGAGCTGCAGCAGCGTGGTCAACTGCACCTTGCTTACGTGGCCTCTGAGGCCAACACTGCTGATATCTTTACCAAGGCACTTCCGCCTTGTGATCATCAGCGTTTCTGTACGATGTTAGGTCTTGTGCCTACTTGGCCTCACTTGCTCACTTCTTGACCTTGCTTGTACTGTGATCTTTCTATACCTGCACTTGCTTGTTTGTCTTTATATATGATCTTGCATGTGAACTGGCCTTTTGGCCTTGCTCTTGTGCTCGGATTGTGTGGTGACGTTGTGATCCACCCTGAGCTTGCTTTGCTTTGCTTGACTGGTCTTGTGACCTCTTGTTCTCCCCCAGTTTGCCTATGGGGGTGTGTCAAACTCATATTATATAGCTTGTGTAGGCTATACTGGGGTAGACACTATGGGGTACAATTTCGTAGGGTTTCCTACTTGTACCCAACTTTGTGCTAGCTCATTTCATTCCTCAATTCTCACAAAGAGCTCCTAGAGATCTGGTGGCGGACACCTCCGTCACAAATCTCGCTTCCTCTCTGGAAGGCTCTGCAAGTCCCGGTTATGATGCACCTCGGACACCAATTTCTCGGAAGAGGGTGCAGAATTTAAAAGATTCGCCTTGGGAACCTGTTCGTCCGCATGACGCGGAGCACATCACACCTCGACAACTATCTGGACGTTTTCGTACTCGTCGTTGTTTCCAGGAAGTCGATGACCAACCCCAACAACAAGCTGAGTCATCAGTTTCTTGCAAGGCATAGGGACTAGCGGCTCTGCGGAATGGGCCATGTGTTCCTGTGGCTTCATTTCATCTACGACCTCGTTCCTCTGCGCTACGGCCCCGGTATCGTCGAGCCTCTCGACTTTTCTGAACCGATCTTGTGGACTAAAGCGCACCTCTTCTTTTCTTTGAAGAAGGGCGACTAGGGAAAGCAGAAGCAAGACGAGATGCACTACAAAACGCATAACACCTGGATTAAGTGGGCCATGACGAAGGCGAGATGGATTTTGAGCAAGGTGACACATGCATTCCGCAGATCCGGAGCGCAACAACTCCATGACGACGGTTGCTCCGACAACGATATCGGCACTCTGGGCGGATGGGCGCAGGGGGAGTTGCGGAGGTGTTATGTGCTCGGCATTCCGTTCAAGCCGGTTTGGCTGCTGGCAGGATTTAGCGGGGATTGTGGAGACTACTACATCGGCAGAGCCCGCTCCAAGCTTCCGCGGCATAAGGATAAGGAGAAGGATGAGTGGTTGCAGCTCTTTGATCTCTTGAGGCTTCACATTTTCCCCTGGGTCGAAGAGGGTTGGAAGAAGGTACATGCTAGTGTACAGTTTTCGCGTTCGTAGCTTAATTTTGATACGCAATTATGAACCGTCGCATTTCTCCTGCATACTCATCCCGTCAGGTTGAAGAATGGAACGTTGCGCAGACCGATCCGCTGAAGAGGCACTATGCGGGGGCGAGGTTCCTTGAGACCCTCGTGAGCATCGGACGCCTCGTTGTTGCACAGGATCTGGCTATGATGTGGGCGTTGTGCCATCAGCACGGCGTGAGAAACCCGCGGTGCAATTGCGAGAGGCATCCATATGTGCAGATGAGCCCCTTGTGCAACCACCCGCTGTTCCAAATGTGGGCGTACCTGGTCGCTATCTCTCACTTCCAGGGCGAGAAGCTTCGGGCAACCGGCCAAACCACCGCCAAAGCAGTAAGTGCCTGCTATTAGTGGTAGAGAGAGGGAGTTATTCGTTCATGCTGAGTTCTGCCGTGTTGGTTTCTGCAGGACGCTATCTTTCGCACGACCGCAGATGAGAAGATGCAGAAGATGCACCTCACCGCCAATATGCTCAGGGAGGAGCTTGGGATTTTGAGAGGACGTGAAATGCAGTTGGCGATGGAGAACGCTGAACTGAGGGAGAAACTCGCCGCTGAGCGAGAGGACAAGGCTCGGGTCATTGCAGAGTTCAAAGCATACAAGAAGTCTGTTGCGGCCAGGGATGATGCGGCAAACACCTCTGCAGAGATGGACGAATCGTCGAAGAGCGCGGGAACAGGAGCAAACCAGGCAACGGACGCATCCAAAGCACCAGTTGCCGTGGAAGAATTCTTTGTCGTGGTCGTTGTGTCTTGGCGTGAAGCCACCACTATTGCTGCTGCCTGGAAAGTGTGGGTGCAGCCAAGCCTCATCATGGGCGGCAAGTCACTGCGCGAAGTCTTTGCAGAGTTCGACCGGTATAAGAAGAAGGACAAGAATTCCAGCTTCATCACCGCATATTCCCGGTTCGCTGACAAAGGTACGCCCGGGATGGCTGTGGGTGCATGCGAGCGAAAGATGCGTCGCGTGCATCGTGTCATGGTTTCCGTGGAGACGCTAAGAAAAGATAGTTTTGAGGCGGCGACCGCAACGGCCATTAAGCTGCTGGACGAGGTTTTACTCGTGTGCAACTTCACGGAATTCACCAACGGCCTGGCGGTGCTGCATGAGACTCCACCCATCAAGAAACAGCAGACCGGTTCGTCGATGGAAAAGAGGACCGTCAACGACTTGGCGCAACGTAGAGTGGGCTGGCTGTTAGTCAAGAAGGGCCTTCGCGACCAGGAGTGGGCAACTTCGCTGTTTGGGGATGATGAGTGGGAGGAGATCCACAAGGAACACATGGCGCAGGAGAAGGCGGAAGAGGAGAAACAACGAACCGCTGCGGCGAAGAAGGCGGAACGGGAAAAGGCGAAGGGCGAAGCGTCGAAACGCTAGGAGCAAAAATGAGGGGGCATGTACCTTAAGGGTGGGGCGGTTTAGTTATTTGGGTACTTTGTTCCAGTTGTACTGAATATGCACTACAGGCACTTGTCTGTCTCTGTAGAAGCCCGATTTGGGGCTTGTATGCCACCTTCTTCCCTGGACGCGCTATTTTTCGTAGAAAGTTTTTCTGGTCTATGCATTGAAGCACACATCGATGGTATACACCCAGCGAAATTCTGTATACGTTTTGGTATGCATAGGAATACCATATACGATTCTTAAGGAGTTGCTCCCTAAGACAAGATGTTATGCGATTGTTTAGCCCCATACTTCTACCTCCTCGTAGAAGCCGAGTATTAAACGTAGATTAAGTGTCGTAGAAGGCCGTCCTGCCGTCAATTATTTTATTCGGCTGGCCCTCCCTTTGATGGCGAGTTCTATCGGCTGCATTGCTAACTCCATACGCGCCCTACAAATTTCGCGAGTGTAGTGAAGGTTTGCATAGCAAACATACATCTCTCATTGTATTGTATACAACAACACCTATATTTATACACGGTGAAAAAATAAACGGAAAGGAAAATCTATTTCTACTACGGTACTAACAAGACCTCCAAAGAACCCGTCTGCCTCTATCACTCCTGGCCGCCAGTGCCGGTGTTCTCCTCCGTCGACACATCCTTCGTCGCGTTCTTTTTCGCGGACGATTTCTTGGTTTTCTTCTCCTTATCCGCCCCTGTTGTGGTATCCTGGCCGCCCAACTTCTTCTGCAGGACTCCGAGGCAGACGCCCTGGTGCTGGCGAAGGCCTCTTGATGCCATGCTGCATAGGCATCAAGAGGTCACCACCTTTGCCACCACCCTCGTCATCTGCTTCGTATCCCCGGCCGCTCGCGACTCTGCCGGAAGCGCTTTCAGCAGCGCATCTGACAGGGGGAGAATCCACGCTTCCTTGTCATGCTCCTGATCCTTGACCGACCTCATCGCCTCAACCGCGACGCAAGCAACCAAGGCTGCAAGCGTCGCAAGGGCATCGAGGACGGCAGAGGACACATCGGCCGCAGAAGATGACGAGGCAGCTGACGAGGCGAAGGTAGCAGTGGACGATCTGGCAGCAGAAGATGCTATGGCCGTAGAAGTTCCACGTGCAGCTGTTGTTGCGCCCGTCTCCCACTGGGTCTAGTCCACATTCGTGGATGCGGCCCACATTACAGACAACGTGGCGGCAAGTCCGACTGCGTGTTCTTCCGTCGAATAGCCGTTTTCACCCTCCACGCCTCCCACCATCTTCTGCCACGCAGTTATTCCGACACCAGCGCAGGCAGCTACCTGAAAGCCATCCCCCTGCTGCTGCCGAAGAGCCATGTTGGTTTGAACGAGTGAGAATCTGCACAAGACACCAGTGTCGCAAGATCAGAACCATCGAACTTCGCGGGTGTTTAGAAGTTGCAACTGTCCATCACATAAACACTCACCCGTCCGGTTTGTCCAGGTGGAGTTCGTTGATGACGCTCCACACCCCTGTTGGAAGCCACAATGTGAAGTCGAGGTCTTCCCGCCACTTGTTAATACGGTTTGGATTCATGTCGTATGCCTGCATGTCAATATCCGTGAAGTAGAACTTCCAGCAGACTGCGACCGTGTATGCCCTCTCCCACACCGTTTTGTGAGAGCCGAGGTTCCGCTTCCGGCTGCCGACGGTTTGCTCAGACGTCCACTTCTGCAAAGCTCCCTCGCCCCATTGAGAGAACCCGCTTCCCCTGAACGGCAGGCAGACACCCAAAGTCTTACCCTTGTCGTCCACTACGGCGTTTTTCCTGTTGTCACACTTGTCGATCTTCATCCTTTTCTTTTCTCCTGGGATTATCGGTATCAACTCCTGTATACCAGCTGCACGCCGTCTCTTAGCCGCATGACCCTCCGGCTCCCTGTCCTCCTGTCTAGGCCACCTCCTGGACACCTCTACGTTCTGTCCGGGAACAATAGCCACGCCCTCTGCTACATTCGCCTCCCCGCTCTCAATCAACAGCAAACTCCCCAGGCCCTCAGCTATTTCCTCCTCGACTCCCTTCCAGGTCCCCTCCCCCTGCATGGTCAAATCCTCCTCTTCCATCTCCCTTGCCAATCGTTCCGTCTCTTCAGCCATCGCCTTTGCCTTTGCCTCCAGTTGCCGCTGCTGTTCCGCGTAGGATGCAAGTCTGGCCCTCTTCTCTGCTCGGCACTGCTCTGCCTTCTGCAGGCGCTCCATCTCCTGTTGTTTCGCCCTCTGCCGCCGCTCGGCCTCCTCTGCCTCCTTCTTCTCCGCCTCCACCTTCTGCAGGCGCTCCATCTCCTACTGTTTCGCCCGCTGCTGCCGCTCGGCCTCCTCTGCCTCCTTCTGCGCCTCCTTCTGCAGGCGCTCCATCTTCTGCTGTTTCGCTCGCTGCTGCCGCTCGGCCTCCTCTGCCTCCTTCTTCTGCGCCTCCTCCTTCTGCGGGCGCTCCATCTCCTGCTGTTTCGCCCGTTGCTGCCGCTCGGCCTCCTCTGCCTCCTTCTTCTACACCTCCTCCTTCTACTGGCGGTCCAATTCCTGCTGTTTCGCCCTCTGACGCCGCTCTACCTCCTCTGCCTCCTTTCTCTGCCCCTCCTCCTTCCTCTGCCTCTCCTCCTTCTGTAGGCGCGCCATCTCCTGCTTATTTTCCCTCTCCTGCCTCTCGGCCTCCTCTGCATCTTTCCGCTGCGCCTCCTCCTTCTGCAGGCGCGCCATTGCCTGCTGTTTCTCCCTCTCCATCCGCTCTGCTTCCTCTGCCTCCTTCCTCTGCGCCTCCTCATTTTGCTGGTGCTCCTTCTCCTGTTGTTTCTCCCTTTCCTCTCGATCGTCCTCCTTAGCCTCCTTCCTCTGCGCATCCTCCTTCTGTCGCCGATCTCCCTCCGTTGCCTTCCTACCCTGCTCCTCCTTTTGCCGTAGCTCTGCGTCCAATCTCAGAACTACTGACAGCCGCTTTTCCACCTCACTTAGCATCCCCTCCTTCCACCCCTTCATCCCCGTCTTCATCTGCTTCACAGCCTTCATCACTTCCTTCATTCCCGCCTCCACCTCCTTCTGCCGTCGCTCTTCCTCCTGATGTTTCTTCTTCCTCCGCCGCTCTGTGGCCTCTACATCCTTCCTCTTCTCCTCCTCCTCCTTCCGCCATTGCTCGTCCAGTTGTTTCTTCTTCTGTCTCTCCTCCTCGTCCGCCACTTGTTTCCTCTTCGCGTCCTGTTGTTGTCGCCGCTCCGCGTCCTCTTGCCTCGCCTTCTTCTGCCGCTCGGATTCTTCTCGCAAAACCGCGCTCAACCTCCCCACAATCTGGTTTACCATCCCATCCTTCATCTCCTTCATTTCTTCCTTCATGTCCTTCATCATCGCCTCCTTCATCTCCCTCATTCCCTCTCTCATCTCCTTCTGCCGATGCTCTTCCTCCTGCTGTTGTTCCTTCTTCCGTCTCTTTGCGGCGTCTGCTTCCTTCCTCGTGGCCTTCTGCCTCCGCTCCTCGTCCTGCAGTCTATCCCTGTTCCGCCGCTCAGAGTCTTCTCTCAGAACCTCTCTCAACCTCTCTTCCACCCCCTTTAACGTGCCCTCCGCCATCCCCCCTCCCGACTGGCGAACCTGATCACTCACCCTTATGATACTCTCCTGCAAGTTGGAGAGTCTCGTGTCCACTTTCTCGCAAAACCTGGCCGCCGTTTCAGCTTGGCGCCGCCGTTCCTTGTTTCCATGGCGGACTTCTTCCAGGTTGGCCAGGGCGTCGCGGCAGTAATGGACGGTCAGATCGGCCACGTCGCGACTGATGCTGCTGTTGCGTGCCGCCAAGTTGCATAACGTCTGCGTCACCATTCGGGCTAAGAGCGTCAGACGACGCGTTACCTCTGCCAGGCTTATGTCCCAGCTTTTGGCCTCGACGAACCTGTCACCTTGTTCGACCAGGACTGTACTCGTCCAATGCAGCATCCGCCGTATTGCCGTCTCTGCCTTGACCCACTCTACCTGCCAAAACGCTTCTGCCACCCCGCCTTGGCCGAGATTCCTCTCCACTGCTCTCTGGTGAAGGGTAGGCCGCCTCTGCCTGTTGAGATCCACTGTATCCCTAGGCGCCCCATCGTCTGCCACCCTCCATGGCCCCTCTACCCCGGTTCCTGGTCCCCGCGTCGGACTTCCTCCCAAAAATATCCGGACTGCCGGATGTACCGTATCCTCCTCATTCTGCTCCTCTTCTGTTTCCAGCGCATCTCCCTCGTAGTGCCCCACTCCAGCCTCCGGGACCACACGAACCTCCTCCATAGTATTTTGACGCTCTGTCTCTGCCATGCTCTACGTCTCTCGGTATGCAAATACCTGCGACGCTGCCTCCTCGTCATGCTGCCCCTCTTCCTCTGCAATGATGTGCCCCTCAGCACCCGCCGTCTCCCATCCCTCTGTCTGTATCATTTTATTCCCATTTGAACCCTCCTCTCCATCTGGCTTCCTATGTCCATCAGCCTCAGCCTGCTTCTGTTCCTCGGCCTCTGCCATCTTCTACGCCTCACCCTCCGCCTTCTGCCGCGCCTCTACAACAGCCTTCTTCCGCGCTTCTGCCCGAGCCAGTTGTAGTGCCTCTTCCGCAGCCTGTTTCTGCTCCTCTGCCTCCGCCTTCTGCCGCGCCGCTGCTTCTGCCTCATTCCGAGCCTCTCCTTCCTTATGTGCGTCTGCCTCCTCCATATGTAGCGCCGCTGCCTTATCCTTCTGCCTCGCCGCTGCCTCTGATTCCTTGTGCGCCTCTGCCTCAACCATCTTCGGCGCCGCACCCTCCTTCTTCTGCCTCGCCACTGCCTCTGATTCCTTGTGCGCCTTTGCCTCAACCATCTTCAGCGCCGCACCCTCCTCCTTCTGCTGCGCCGCTGCCTCTGATTCCTTCTACGCCTCTGCCTCAACCATCTTTGGTGCCACACCCTCCTCCTTCTGCTGTGCCGCTGCCTCTGATTCCTTCTGCGCCCTTGCCTCAACCATCTTTGGCGCCGCACCCTCCTCCTTCTGCTGCGCCGCTGCCTCTGATTCCTTCTGCGCCTCTGCCTCAACCATCTTCGGCGCCGCACCCTCCTCCTTCTGCTGCGCCGCTGCCTCTGATTCCTTCTGCACCTCTGCCTCAACCATCCTGGGCGCCGCACCCTCATGCTTCTGCTGCGCTGCTGCCGCTGATTCCTTATGTGCGTCTGCCTCATCGTTCTACTGCGCCGCTGCCTCATCCTTCTGGATCGCCATTGCCTCTGATTCCTTCTGCGCCACTGCCTCCACCACCTGCAGCTCGACTACCTCCAACGTCAGCTCTGCTGCTGCACCCGCTTCTTTATGCGCGACTGCCTCCGCACTCTTGACCGCCTCTGCACCCACCTTCTGCTGCGCCGCAGCCTCTGCTTCCTTTGGTGCCCCGTCCTCTACCGTAAGTGCCGCCTCTGCATCGACGAACCGATGGGCCGCATCCTCTGCATTCTGGTGCGCCTCTACCTCCGCCATCTTATGAGCCTTTGCACCCGCGTTGCTCTGCGCCTTCTTTTCGCCTCTCCCAAATTCTCTGGCACGTCGACGTCCCCTCTCCGGGCCTCTTCAGCTGCCTTCCGCTTTACGCTGGGCAAGCGAACTTTCACGTATCCCCTATCCTCCTCGATATGCTGCCGCACATTGCTGGCGAGCTCCTCTCCTGCCTCTCCCACGTGTGCCCTTGCAGCGGCTCGTGCCCCACGCTCCCATGCTTCACGTATGTCTCCAGTTCCTGGGAAAGAGACGGTAGGATCGGTGTCGCCATCACAGCGCCGTTGCCTCTCTTCAGCCCGTCTCCTCTTGGCTTCTGCTTCAGCCATCCGCTTATCATCAGCCGCCTTCCTCCACTGCTCCTCTGCCTGTTCGACCTGACTTGGCAACTGTGGATCTTCTACACCCTCCTCGCCTTCATCTGCTTCACTTGCCAAGTCGGTCTCCGTCCGTGCTTCGCGTTCTGGCGGCCTCCTAACCTGATCAGCAAACCTGAGCTGCCTAACTTCAGACCTAACACGCTCGTCCGCACGGGCTGACCTTGATGTCGGGCCACTCAGTAGTGCACCCGGTGCAGGTCGTCGGGAATATGAAATTTCCCCTACTCTTGGATTTGCGTCCCGGTTTGCGGCAGGTACGTCTCTCTGTCCCTCTACCGCTTCGGATCTGTTCTGTGCCGCCGGCTCCATGGTATTTCCGGACCGTTCCGATGCGCTCTCCACCACTCGAGCCTCATGGGTCGTCATGACAGCATCCTGGGCGGGACGGAGCTGGACACCTTGCAGGTCGAAGAAGGCCCTGCAGGTCGACTCCAGCATACTCCGAATTTCTTTCGCGTTGTTTTTCCCCTTCCCTAAGGCGATCATCGGCTGTGCAGTTTGAATCGCCATGACATCCCCCCATTTGTCCAGCAACTTGCTGAACAGATGGGTAACGTGCAGCCCGGAACCCACTTGCATCTGTCCCTGAACCTTGTTGATCTGCAACATGTGCGTGAAAAGGTGGTTGTCAGACACTCCCGTAACTTTTTACAAGCTTAATATCATACAACGCTTAAATCATAAAAATAGAGGCTCCTTACCCTGCCTTCCTCCAGAATCAGTTCCTCTAGGCGATCCCTGAAATCTTTCTGCACCGCTTCGGCATGGCTGCCAGAGACCCTGCGACCTCGGCTGTATTCCACATCTAGTTGTCGAATAAGCCAGCTGCAGGGCAAGGGGGTCGCAAATAATCAATAACATGCGTCCATACAAACCGCACATCTGATTAAGGAGTGACACTTACTCAAACACCTCCTTGGCATGGTCGCTATGGCGATGGGTTGGGATTGGAGATTTAGGGTCAAAGTGTAGCACACGCGTACGGTACTCTCCGCGGGGATGTGCTAACAAATCTTGCGGGTTCATCAGCACCATGAGACTGATCGCCGTCGAGTGAACAACAGGGACTCTGCGGTACATCGCAGTTTGGATTAGCAAGATAAGCTGGTGTCATCCACACACGTTGCGGATCCATGTCAAGAAACTCACTCTGGTATCATGGGTATTAAAACCATCTGGTAGTCCAACAGCGGCCGATGTTCGCTGCCACAACTGTGGACACGCGGGACGGCAGACCTCAAACGCGGATGCTCGCTAGGAGCCAAAATCTTTATGTCCCTGCGAACGCAAGGATCCCCGATCTTGTCCTTGGCAACCTCCCTGCATCCAAGCCGACATGTCGTAGAGGTAAGAAGATAGCAGGTGCGTGTCTAAAAATACAAGGGTTTAACGTGCCGATGAAGTCGGCGTGCGTTACAAACCGCGCTTGGATACATACACAAGGCCGAAAAGTAACAGCGCCTCGTTCCACTCTTCCTGACGAGCGGCTAACATTTCATAAGACTCCCGCCCTAGTCGTACAGACAATCCGCAGCCATCTGTGATTAACTGGGACGACATCGCGTAAGTATGCCAGAAGATGGCAGGTAGCTATATGGTTACTACCATACACTGTCCGCCTGCAGGATTTGAGGCCGACACTAGAATGAGAGGGAAGCTTGTGAGGAGGCTAGTTGTGGAACCAAGACTCAGATTGGAATGGCGAGAATGACCTTGAGCTTTGGTGCACCCACCCTGATAACAACTTCTGCTTCGCTGGTAGAATTGGTTGTGTTCTCGTCCTCACAGAAGGTGGGAAAGGCTTTGCTACAAACGCCAGGCGTAGTAAGACTTTTCTGCCCCCTACATCAAAATATTAGGCTTCTCACCATTTCCCTCCGAACATCTGCGAACTACTCTTTGCATCCTTCTGCAGCGATTGGCCTATTTGTCGCCAGATTGTTCTCCTAAATGTTCTATTTCAGTTGCTGGTTGGTTGATTGCCAACCTTATATGCCATTTAAGCATATTGCATGTTCTGCGGTGCATTACATGGTCTCAGCTTAGCCTCGACCTAGTACGAAATGGTGACGGGCAGCCCCTAAAAAAAAAGAAAGGTATCATGTGACAGGTTCATGACAGGCTGCCACGTATAACTATCCCATCCGCATGGTTCCCTCCGCAAAGTGGAAATAGAGCAGTCTCTGCGACCTGTCACACGTGTCAGAAACCGAATGATCGTGTACATCCCACAGTACCGCTATAGGGGTACTCGCGTAGCACATATAGTGCTAGTTTTTGTAACCCATAAAACAAACACAAGCATGAACTTTGCATGATTAGCACACCCAATTCTAAAACGGATAATCCTATAAGTGTGAGATGAGTGCCCTATCAATAAGGGCTCATTAGCACCCGTATAACAATGGCATTTAAATACAAAACAAATGTTGTACATTTCAACAAAGTGATATGCTCCCGCCTGCAGAGAAGAGCATGAAAAACATATCAAACCTCTACGAAATGAAATGAATTTCATAGGGGAGTCTGAAATATGTGTGATGAGAGTCCCCTATGAAAATCAGATCATTTGCCTAAGGATAAGTGGGTGATTTCAATTGCAACCTGATTCCAAGCAATTCTGCACAGAATTCTGCAGACTGCTGCACAACAAGGCTTAAAACCATATCAAACCTTGAGCAAATGAGATTAATTTCAGAGGGGAGTCTAAAATACGTGTTTTGAGAGTCCCCTATAAACATCAGCTCATTTTCTTAAGGATAAATGGGTGATTTCAGTTGCAACCTGATTCCAGGAAATTCTGCACAGAATTCTGCAGACTGCTGCACAACAAGGCTTAAAAACCATATCAAACCTTAGGAAAATGAGACACATTTCATAGGGGAGTCTGGAATATGTGTTTTGAGAGTCCCCTATAAAAAAAAGCTCATTTTCCCAAGGAGAAGTGGGTGATTTCAATTGCAACCTGATTCCAGGCAATTCTGCACAGAATTCTGCAGACTGCTGCACAACAAGGCTTACAAACCATAACAAACCTTGAGCAAATACGATGAATTTCAGAGGGGTCTCTGTAATATGTGTGATGAGAGTTCCCTATAAAAATCAGCTCATTTGCCCAAGGATAAAAGGGTGATTGTAGTTGCAACCTGATTCAAGGCAATTCTGCACAGAATTCTGCAGACTGCTGCACAACAAGGCTTAAAACCCATATCAAACCTTGAGCAAATACGATACATTTCAGAGGGGGGTCTGGAATATGTGTGATGAGTGTCCCCTATGAAAACCAGATCATTTTCTCAAGGAAAAATGGTTGCTTTCACAAGAAACATGGTTCCAGGCATTTCTGCACAGAATTCTGCACCCGCCTGCAGAATATAACATGAAAAGCATGGCAAACCTTGATGAAATGAAGTGAAAACTGGATGGAAATGAGGACTAGGTGTGATGACTATGCCCTATCAAAATGGGCTCATTTGCCCAAGGAGAAGTGGGTGATTTCACCTGACACATCACACCAGGCAACTCAGCACTAACTTCCTTGCAAGAAAAAGTCCACCAAATCAGTTTGCATAGAGCTGAAAATGTTCAGGGGGGCTGGAACAGGTGTCATAACACTAAAAATGCAAAACAAATATGGTCACCACATAACACATGTGTGTGATGCCCAGAGAATGACCTTACACATGTGCTATGAGCAACCTTAGTTGACCCAAAAGTGACAAAATGTAACAAATTTGACAAAATAACAAACTCATGCCCGTGTAAGAGTTGAAGAACAGGAATGAAATGACTAAGGGAAGACTGGGTACAAATACAACCCTAGAAACCTGTACCCCATATGTGCTACCCCACTATAGCCTACAGCAACTATGTCATATAAATCTGACACACCCCCATAGGCAAAGTGGGGGAGAACAAGGGGTCACAAGACCAGTCTAGCAAAGCAAAGCAAAGCTCAGGGTGGATCACAAAGTCACCACACAGTCCGAGCACAAGGTCAAGGCCAAAAGGCCAGTTCACATGCAAGAGAAGGCATATATATATAAGGCTAAACAAGCAAGAGCAGGTATATATATATATATATATGCAAGAGTACAGACAAGGTCAAGAGGTGAGTAAGTGAGGTAAGACACGAACAAGTCCCAGCTGAGTGCAGAAGCGCTGATGATCACAAGGCGGAAGTGCCTTGGTGAAAACATCAGCAGTGTTGGCCTCAGAGGCCACGTACGCAAGTCGCAACTGACCACGCTGCTGCAGCTCACGAGCAAGGAAGTAGCGGAGAGCAATGTGCTTCGTTCTGTGCTCCAAGCGCTGCTCTCGACACAAGGCCAGCATGGCCTTGTTGTCTACGTACAGCACTGGAGGAGAACGAGGCGGCTCTCCAAGGTCAGACAGCAGGTAGGTGAGCCAGCGAAGCTCCTGTGCAGCCATGGGCCCGGCGTAGATCTCAGCCTCACAACTGGAGCCGAGAACAGAAGACGAGCGAGTAGCCCTCCAAGAGACAGAGCCAGAACCAAGACTGAAGGTGTACCCCTGCGACGACCGGTGCGTAGCCTGGTCGTCAGCCCAAGAAGCGTCTGCGTGACCAGTGAGGACCACTGGACTCCGCCCTCCAAGCACAAGCCCCATGCCCGACGTACTGCACAAGTAGCGCAACACCCTCTTCGCTGCAGCCATGTGCTCTGGTCGGTGTCTCCCAGGAGCAACATAGCGTGCAAGAATGCTAAGAGGGTATGCAAGGTCAGGTCGTGTGCAGGTCATCAGGTACATGAGGCAGCCAACAAGCTCCGGGTACGGGCCACTCGACTCTACGGACTCATCCGAAGGCAGAGCTGAGAGCGAGTGGCGAGTAGCCAGAGGAGTGGCCTGAAGCGAGGAGTACGTGAAGCCGAAGCGCTGAAGGACCTGCTGCACCATGTGTGACTGAGTCAAGGTAATGGTGCGGCGTGCTCTGTCCCGAGTGATCTGCAAGCCAAGGTAGCTGCGCAGTTCACCCAGGTCTGTGCACGTGTGTCTCTTCAGCAGCTCGGACTTCACGTAGGCGAGTCCAGCAGTGTCAGCAGTGGCAAAGACCAAGTCGTCGACGTACACGAGGATGTAGAACGGCGGCAGAGAAGTGTCGGTGCGCAGAAACAACGACGGGTCAGCAGTAGAGGGAGCAAACCCAAGAGCCGCAAGCGTAGTCCTCAGTGTGTCGTGCCACTCACGCGGTGCCTGGCGGAGACCGTAGACTGGCCGTCGGAGGCTCCACTGGGTGCCAGGAGGGAAAGTCCCAGTGAAGCCAGGCGGACGGCGCAGCCAGATCTCCTCGTGCAGGCTGCCCTGCAAGAAAGCAGTGCTGAAGTCAAGAGAGTGAAGCTCGTAGTCGCGCTGAGCGGCTATGTGCAGCAGCACCCGAAGAGTAGTCATCATCGGGGTGGGAGAGAAGGTCTGAAAGT